TATGTGTAAATGTGTGTGCGTGTGTTGGCATATATTTCATTTAATATCTCAGGAGGGGCAAAGATTATGAAACGAAATTTGCTAAGGTAACTGGTACGGAAGGATCATAATGCTATTAAATTTTGGCCGAAAAACGTCAGTTTATGAAAATAAAGAAGTGTCATATATTATATCGAGAAGTGTCGGACTTAATGAAGTTATTCGTGATTAGCATTTACGATATTTTATGAAACTCATCACAATCCTAAAAATTAAGCATTCAGCCATGGTATAATAATTAATATTATAGAAAATTTTATAACAAAATCTCATAACAGATGGCATCACACACAATTTTATTTATTAGAATTAAATCTATACAAGTTATTTTTAAAAAGCAATCTGATAACAACTGGAAAGTTACGCAACTCATTGTTAATTTTTTTACAATGTAAACACCATTAGTCCACTTTTCACTATACTATGACCGGTATATATTAATAAAAAAAATGCAGTTGTCAGTTGCTTCCTTTAAGTGATTCGGTGGATTCGGGAAAAATAAAGAAATACAGAGATCATTATTTGTGATGTCATCTAGTGATTCAAATAATATAGTTTCTGCTTTTATTGAATATGTGACATCTGCTGGTTTGTTCCTAACTAATTTCCGGACGCAAGGTAAAATGTTTAAATGTAAAGCTCCCGTGGAGTGGCAGAAGTAAAAACACGGAAGAAGTTAATGTATTGTAATAGTACACAGTAGATTTTGGCTAATCTGTGCATTCATGTACAGGCGGTTGACACATCAACGAGAGTACTGGATTATTCAGAGTGTATAAGCTTCTTAATAACATGATTCGTATGGACTGTTTTTGCAATAGGTAAAACAATGAATACTGTATATAGAAATGAAATCCGAATAAGCTGGATAACAATAAATGTGGCATAATTAATATTTCCATGAGAATTAAAACCGAATAATTGAGACGTTGAATTATTGGGGGCCGGATTAGCCAGTGTTTTGTAATTTAACCATATATTACAAAATAAGCATTATAAAATATAATTTTCCCAATGGGTCGGTGTAAATTACATTAAAACCGAATTTAAAAATATAGTTTTCTCGAGAAACAATCTTTTTCTAAACCGTCTTGTATAGTCAGGACATACATATGCTAGTGCATAAAAATAACATTTATTTAAACTTCAATAATTTTGTGTTATTTCCAAATGCATTTTCCTTCGGTAACTAAGTATAGGCCTCTTCATTGAATAATTACAGAAGTTCATTTGACTTGGTAGACAAAACGGCATCTGTTTGAAGTAAAATTATCTTGTATACAGTAATTATTTAGTGAATACTACTTTATATATAAACATCGTCTTCTTCTTTATTTAGATGCGTGAACTAGGCAAGCAGAGAATGTCTATACACAATTATCAGTTATTTGAAGTGAGTATTTACTATTTAAAAATAATACATTTTTCAATTTATTTTATTTATTGCCATCCAGTTTTTTCAACCGTTCTGTTTATACAATTACAATTTGGAACATATATTACAATTAATGTAAATTGGAAACCATGAAAAAAAAATGTTATAAATATTACTTTATTAAAATAGCCTTTAAAGTTTTTTCCGGATATTAAATCTTCTACAAATGTTTGTTACGCTAACATTGAATTTTTGTAACAGGATAAGATATTTGGAAATTCTAACATGAATTAATAGTAGTAAAAGAAGACTGAAAAGTTTTCAGTGCATACAAAAAAACAAACCACAAAAAGAAACGAGCAATTATTCATTGTGACTTCGGCGCATTACCGAGATGTAATTTTCAATCGTAATTTTGATTTATTTAATTTAAAATATATGCTCTCCACTTCAAATTACTAGCGGCATACACCGGTACATCGAACTTTCCTTCTAGAAATATAGTCGTGCTGATCAACTATCAGACTCCTTTCGGAGAGAAAATATTTGAATTGAAATAACGTGACTTTCAATTTGCATTGGAAGTTTTTATAAAAGTAATTGGGGCCTACTTCTCCAAAGATTTCCATTTCTGGTTTCGACATTCATCTATCTATCTCCATTTTCTAGATTCTGGAATAAGGGACAGGCAGCAGACCAATGGGGGATTCATAGGTCTACAATTTTTTCAATTTGCAGCCCAAAAACAATGCTTTGTTACAAACAAATTTAAGTAGATAGAAAAAAGCGCCACATTCGCGATCAGCACGCTCTTACTTCCTATAAATTGTACACTGGATCTCAACGACTAAAACGTTTTTTGACATAAAAATACTTCTTAACTAAAAAAAATTTAAAAGCATACCGTATATAGTACGAATTAAAAAGTTAGGAAAGTACTGATTTCTTTTTATAAATTTTATGCGAAATTTTAAATATTACAATAAAAGAAAATTGAAAAGAAAGAGGAAGTGAGTCTCAAACCCAACGTGAGTAATGGCGGAAGAATTCCTGTAGGGGTTGAGTGAATCAGATATAGTAATTATGTCTTAATTAATCACACACAGACATTAGTTTTTATTTTAAAATTGTGAAATTACAAGCATCGCATCAAAAAATAAGATTATATTTTGAATTTATGCATATTTTTCATTCTAACCATGTAAAATACTTGTGCTTTGATTTTTAAAAAAAATTGATATTTTGGTAATTACTTGAGTTTTATTTGATTCAAAGTCCAATGACCAAACATCAGCGATTCATAACCGATCATTCATTGTTTTATTAATAAAAAAAGTTAAATAATTGATTGATATTGAATTATTCATAAATAAAATATAATTTTAGATTTGTTGTTTAAAAGAAATTTTTAAGTTCAATTTTGTTTCTAATGCCTGTAAAGATTTAACAACCGCACCGTCTTTACAAATATGCACAGGGTAATAGTGTAATATGTAAATTTAATATTTAGGTAATGTTCTTCATTTATAATTTTCCAGATTTCAAATTTAATAAAAATATATTAAATTGCTGTAGGAAAAATATAAGTATTTTTCTATTGTGATTTTATTCTAATTATAATAATTTATATCTCTTCACTAGAACGAAGAATAGATGAATAATCATAGTAATTTATCCATGAAGAATTCAGGTAGATAACAAAAAAATTATTTCTTCATTGTATAATACTATTCATAAATGTTAAGAAACTTTTATAATTCAGATATTTAACAATGGCAAATGCTAAAAGCAATCTTTCCTTTAGAAAGTTTACAAAATATTGTTAAAATCTATTAAAAATTTAAATTCAAAAAATCTAAGAAATAATAATTTGTCAACATTTAATATTTATAAATATCTGTAACGAATAAACTTTTGTTCGTTATTTACTTAATATTAACGTCTAATCTATCACAAACGAACAAATATAATCAATCTGTGAGACAATTATTTAAATTTCGGTGTAAAGACCTGAAATATGAATGCTTAATATTTATAAAATTGTTGGGGTGCAATTTGAAAGCATTAGACAAATATAAATTACCAGTGTCGTCCGTCTTTCCGCATGCTTGCCTGTCCTTCTTTAATCTACAAAAAGGAGTTACATAAATGAAAGTCGACACAAGATCGCAATAACTTACGGATTAACTACATGTAAAGTTTCGGTGTAAACCGGAAGTCACGTTATTTTAATTCAAAAATTGTCCCCCGAAAAGAGTAAGTTAAAGGACCGGCACGACCCTATTTCTAGCGGGAACGTATGGTGTAGAGGGGCAAGGCACTACTAATTTGAGATGAAGAGCATATATCTTGAACTAAAATTTAAAATGTGATTAAAAATTGCAGCCCGGCATTGCGACGCTATCACAATAAATAATTGCTCCTTTCTGTAAAATTATGAAAGAAACGGCGCTATTTCAAAAATATTAATGAATAGTAATTGAATGTGGAACATCGAAATCGAAATTATTTTATTTAACATTTTTATGTTTGAACTACTATAGATAAAAACACACAAAAAAACGTTATAGCGCAAAGAATAACACGAATTAATTGCGTATTGTGACTATGATTGAGTCAGTTATGTAATTTGATAACACGAAAGTTAGAATCGCACGAGAAACTCGTATAATTCGTGGATATAGTCTCCCAATTGTTAAACTAGAGGTGGAGAGATCTGCACCGATCTTTCAATTATTCTTCTATTGGAATAGTCTGTGCAACGATTTACGAAACATATCAAGTTATGAAATCTTCAAAAAGAATGTAAAAACGAAATAACTTTAAGCCACAATGATATTTGTTCTCAGATAATTTTTGGACCTGAAAAAAAAGTAATTTTCTTTCTCAGCTCGCGTCCTGTTTTTGTTTTATTTATTCTTTTTTGTTCGTTTTGTTGTTTCTAATTTAAGATGCTTGTAAAAGGCCAACCTGGCCACAGTGTCTTTTTGAGAAATAAATAAAAAATAAGTTAAAAAATATTTATGGCTTTCAAGATTTAAGTTAAAACGGCGAATAAAAATTCTCGTTTTGTAAAATATTGTCATCAAATAATATTGTAATTTACATAATTGAAAAAGCTTTTGTATAACTTTATCTATATATATATATAAATGGACGTGTATGTCCCTATATATTTTCCGCAAAAACTACACATCGCACGTGAATGGTGTTTCTATGTGGTAGTAGCCCCAAGTCTTCATTCGTGCATAGGGGTGGTTGCGTCTCGATAGCTATAAGGGTGCGGGAGATATGAGGCTGAAAGTGGTTGAAAGTGGCTTTCTATTTCGAATGTTTTGTTCGAATTTGTTCGAATTTAATTCGAACATAAAATTCGAATATTGGTTCGATTATAGAACGATTGTAAACGTTCCAGAAACGTTGAAAATAGTTCGTTTGACTAAACGTAAAAATTCTCTAATTAGTCTGGAAACGGGGGACCTAATTCTTCATTCTGTGAAAACGGGTAAGATTAGCTATAATGTAATTATCTTAATCTTCACTATCGTTACTTTTTGCCCAGCGAAGCGGGTTCTTGCAGCTAGTTTTCTATAAAAATAGGAAATACTCAAACCACGATATAGAACTTCACGTTTTATATATATGATTAGAAATGAAACGTAAGTGACGAGAAACAGACAAACACGATACTCATTTCCTGTTCCCGGATTCGACCTCACGGGAATTTTGAAAAATACGGTATGTCGTATGCTAACCTATCTGAAAAATATAGAATTAGGAATTAGTGACAGTGCAGTTATATTCGCATTTTGATTATTTTATATAAACAATGAACTTTTCTGAAAAAGGAAAAAATATTTAAACGTCATAATATGATTTCGTTATTATCTTTTTGAGTTACTTTGTATTGTTTCTTTATAAATTGCTAAAAGGAAGTTGTTTGCTGTTCAATTTGTGCAATAGGAGTCAACTACAAAGTAACCTTTCAAGAAGACACGTCTAATAAATGTGTTAATACGTTATCTAAAATGAAAATTCGAATTATTCATATGCTGGTCGTTTTGCTTCAACTGATAACATGCGTGAATTTAATGGCTACAAACGTGTCAAAAGAAGTACGAGACGAGGAAGAAGTAAATCGTGTATTGGAAATGTTAGACAATGCAGAAGCGAAAGTAAAAGGCTACTTGAAATCTCTTACTAGAGCAGCACTTCCTTACATGATAAGAATTACCGAAGAAACGAATTTATCTTCTTCCTGCATCGAAGCTGGCAGTTTGTTCCTCAGAGACTTCAGACTTATGAAACCATGGACTATAAAATGTAAGTGTTACGTTTCTCTATTCGTTGCCTGTATATTTCTCGCGTATTGTTAGCAGTTAAGTTGATAAATGCAAAAGAACAGATCAAAGAACTGAAATTTGTATAAAAGGTATACAAAGCATACTTCATTTTGTTTTACCCATCGTCTTGTGGGCACTATCATGGCCTTTTTCAGAACCATTGTGTATTGTAAATTCTGACAGGCGCACAACGAAGTGGTCGAATGGGGGATGAGGAAAGCAGAATTATCTAATTCCTACCACCCAAAAGCCTTTTTGGGGTGGCTCAACTAATATCGATTTTGTGTCTTCCCAGCGTTAGACTGGATACTTTAACAGCTTCCTTTAGGCTATGTACACACTATGCGTTTTTAAATGCGCGTTTTAAAGAACCAAGAGTTGTACGTAGGCGTACATACTCAAAGGCGCGCTTTTGGCCAAGCGCGCATATATAGATTTTTGTTAAAACGCGCGTTTTGCGGGCGTCATCCGAGCGCTTTGAGATATATGTGCTGCCATGTTACTGTACATTCGATCACGCGTTTTGCGGGCGTCAGCCGAGCGCTTTGAGATATATGTGCTGCCATGTTACTGTACATTCGATCGCGCGTTTTCGGGTAGAGTGGACGTACGTTGGCCGAAATGGAGAACGATCATTTCGATACTGATCTATTTATTGATGAAATCTAAAAGAGACCAACCATCGTCAAAGGATTTTATAGATATTTTAAAATAATTTAAAAATTTGGGTTCATTTTGTCTTAGTTTTGGATACAACGTCGAAACATTCCATGTGTCAGTCTATCTCGTAATATTGTGTGCACCCAAAGTTCTCTTTGTGTCTGCCATCGTCCTTTATAGCGACGATGGAGGAGGCACACACAATCAATTACTTTCACGTCCATTTCCATACTGAGCCAGTGCGTACGCTCCACAAACGTTCGTCGAACACCGAGCTAACGCGCGTTTTAATAAACGCGCGTTTAAAAACGCCTAGTGTGTACACAGCCTTATTCGGTCAGCAATATAATATATAGAAATTATTTTTTATTAATACAGAGACGATAAATGCGTTATATATGTATGGATTCACTATATACAAGCTGATTAGTCACACAATGAATTTAAAGACGAAATGTCTCATTACCTTGAAAAAATATTTTTCTCTATTTTAAACTATAATTGATTTAAATTACTCGAGGGAAAATACGATTCGAATTTCAAAATAATATATTGATGAGCATCATTATTATATGTATCCTATACGCTTTTTGAATATGATTACAGTTGTTTAAAATTTATTTTTTTCGATTACAGTATATCCTCGGTTTAATAATGAAATAATTAATTGAAGGGCCTGGTCTAACAACAAATGACAAACAGTTTATAAAATTATTTAGAACATACGAAAAATACTTATTAAAGTTAAGGTCATTTTGAATGACTCATTTAACATTTGACTATGCTGTTCCCAAATTTATAACTGTAAAAAATATTTGGTCGTGTTTTAAAGTTTTTTAATTTTTCTATTTTGTAAATGAAATATTTAAAACTGTATTGATTCATTGTTGCACCGAAATGACAAAATTAACATTATACAAAGCATTTTAAACGAGTTAAAAGTTTGTTTTGTTCACTTTCAGATTTCAAATCTCCTGACTTTAAAAAATTGTGAATTATATGATGTCTATCTGAGCCACTGAGAGTCGTATGATAACGAACTTTGAACATCAATACAACAATAATTCTTCTGTCAGAACCTTGTAACTAGCACTGTCTAGTGTAATGAAAACAAAATTGTATAAAGGCAAAGTTTAAAAATGTTTTCACTGTCCCTCTCGTTATACCGAACTCTTCAATTTCTTAAAATCGATACTTCATTGTGTGCCTTTGTCTTTTACACGAAACATACGTTTCGTTAAACGCACACGTTAAATTCTCCGAACGATTTACTTCTAGATACGATTAAAGTGAACTGTATTTTTATCCAAATTAAACATTTTAGACAAAAAAAATATTGTCTTGACTTTTCATTCTACTTGCTCTGTGCATTTCCTGGGTCTATCACAGTGTTTTGCGAACTTTTTAAAATTGACAGTGGCACACCAACTCGTTAATAGCATCCCTGCTTGTTTATTAAAGTTATTGTCTTTTAATACATTCCCAGTTCTCTTTTCGCCGAAAAAACTGCGAAATGTTGGGAAAAACTCACGGATACTTCTACGTACTGTATATCTGGTGTGATGTTACTGAATTTCTTAATTTTTCTATAAAGTATGAACCCTAGACTTGTAGTTTTGTATCGATGAAATTTTTAAAGGTAAAAATGTTTTGTATTTTTTCATGTTACGTACAGTACATGCGTACAGAATACAGTCTTAAGCCTGGTACTCACATGCCGCAACGCATGACGGAAACCGTCGTCGAAAACGGTTGCCGTTCTGTCGTCTTTCCGCGTCACGTGTATTCACATGCCGGAATTATCCTACAATTGAAACGCGCCATCTGCCAGCCATAAATATAAACAAGCTACTACAATAGGTATGCCACGTGCTAGTAATCGAAATGGGTGTCTACCGAAATTGCTTTGTAATAGCAATTAAACTTTTTAAGTTTGCCTTCGATCTTATCGCAAATAAAGAACTTCAAAACCGAATAATTTAGATAGGATAAATATTCTAAATCGCCGAAAATTAGGAATATCGAATACTTTCGTCGCCGAATTACGCTTACTCCATTCCCAATACTTTACGCAGTAAGTATGTCTATTTGACATTAATTTAATTAATATTTAATTCGGCTAGTAATATAAAGTATAAGTGAAATATATTAGCGTATTATTGTAATAATAAAGCTTTTTAGCTTGTCGACCGCCATAGTTCGAATGCTATCGTCCCACGTGATCTTTATGACGACATTGCTAAACGGCCTTCCTATTGGTCTAATTTTTGCCGTTTCTCTTTCCGCCACCGCAAAAGTTGAAAATTTTCAACTTCGTATTACGTCGGCTTCGACGGCAAACCTGACGTCATTTTGCCGTTCCGTCGACGGTTTCTGTCGTCCGTTGCCGCATGTGAGTATCAGGCTTTAGTCGATCAAATTGTTGTGTTATGTAAGTACGAACTATGAATACGAAAGGTAATTGTACAGAGTGATGGAAAAATTGCAAATTTTTCAAGTTGTAGTTGAAGTTGTCATGTTATTTTTATTATATACTAGCTACCTCGTTATTTCTGAAGAATTGTGGCCTCACCATCGCAATATTCGTAATCCGCAGATTTTTTACTGTAGAGGTATTACAAAGGTGCCGTGTATAAAAATAATCCACACACAATAGATGAACTAAAGAAGAACATTTAATGGCCGATTAAGCATTAGTTTTCAGATGCTTCACGAGATGGAATCAAACATGATAAGAACTTGCGTCTGCATTCATGAACGAGGATTTCACTTCGAACATATGTCCTAATGACTAGACAGCGGACATCTGGGCCCTTAACAGTGGCGTTTTAGGCGCTTAAAATAAGCTCTTAAATTGCGTCGTTTAAGCTTTATAAAGAAAAAATTGGCGGTCAAAATTTGCACAATGAACAATTAACGTACTTATCAGGACGATGAATTTTTTATTTAACATATGTATTCCAAACAAAAATTCACGTATTCAGAATGATGCAAACACAAAAGTACAGAAACAATTATCTTTACATTTTTTATTTACCCTGTCTCCCATAGTTAGCTTCATAATATATTACAAGCACTTTTTCCAAATTTTCAATGGAAAAGTTGAAATGTTTGTCCCTGAAAATTAATTTATATGCAGAGAAAGAGCATATAATCCGTTAAGATAACAAACATTATTTCAACCTTGGAAGAAGATGGGAATTCACTTTCAGTTTTGCTTGTCTTTCCTGCCGAAATATCAGCCAAAATAAACAAGCGCTTTACTCCAAGTCTCTTTTGAAACACTGCTCTCAACACTTTCTTCACTTTTTTTGCAGCAGTGCCTGGTGCATCACAAAGTTTCTGGTTTGCTCTGTTGAGGAGATTTGTTCATATATAGGTTTCCCACTGCTTTCGAGAGCAGTAATAGTACCTACAATGAATGTGAAATAATACTTGATGTACACCAACTTGTTCTGAATATAAATGTCATTCAAAATTTTTTTTAGCTTTAGTTACACAAACTGCATTGTCCGCTAAAGTGGGCAGAAGTGTTTTGATATCGAAGAAATGTTCACTGTAGTTGTTAGTACAATATCTTAGCGATGTATATGCTAAGGGAAAAATAGGCATTTGCCTAAACTCCGTCGAGTAAAAATGACAAATAATGCATTTCTAACGCTATATCTATATATATATACAGTCGACCCCCCTATAAGATATAGATACGTTCCATTCTTTAAAAATCCGATTTCTTATGAATCCTTCCAATCACAACCCGATACGTGTCAAGTTTACGGACTACGGCTGTTTAAAAGATTTTCTTCCATAAAATTAATCCATTCTAGACTAATCCGACTCAACATTTCCAAAATACGTATATTTTTTTTGGGAATAATCCGTATAAACTACGCTATAAACAAAAAATTGTAGGATTACTTACCGAGTGTCCACCGCCATTGCTAATGCTTGTTTTCGTCGCGGAGGGACGCTCCGCGACGAAAACAAGCATTAGCAATGACGAAAGTTTTCTGATGACTTATTTTTTTGCGAAAACTTCGTTGAACTTCGGAGACATCATTAATATAAATAATTTTAATCGCCGTTGAATAAGAAATGTTTCTTTCACAAGAAATGTATAAAATTACAGTACTGTATTAGACTTACGGTACCTAATTTACATACTG